GATGCCAACAAACATATGAAAAAATGCTGATCATCACTTGTCATTAGAGAAATGCAAATCAAAACCACATTGAGTTATCATCTCATGGCAGTTAGACTGGCGATCATTAAAATATCTGGAGACAACAGATGCTAGAGAGGATGTGGAGAAATAGGAATAGTTTTATGCTGCTGGTGGAAGTGTAAATTAGTTCAACCATTGTGGAAGACAGTGTGGCACTTCCTCAAGGACCTAGAAATAGAAATTCCATTTGACCCAGCAATCCCATTAGTGGGTATATATCCAAAGGATTATAAATTGTTGTATTATAAAGACACGTGCACACCTATGTTCATTGTGACACTGTTTATAATAGCAGAGACCTGGAAGCAACCCAAATGCCCATTGATGATAGACTGGACAAGGAAAATGTGACACATATACACCATGGAATACTATGCAGCCATAAAAAATGATGAGTTTGTGTCCTTTGTAGGGACATGGATGAATCTGGAAACCATCATTCTCAGCAAACTGATACAAGAACAGAAAATCAAACACCACATGTTCTTACTCATAGGCGGGTGTTGAACAATGAGAACACATGGACACAGGGAGGGGAGCATCACACACTGGGGTCTGTGGGGGAGAAATAGGGGAGGGACACTGGGGGATGGGGAGTTGGGGAGGGATAACATGGGGAGAAATGCATATAGGTAACATGGGGAGAAATGCATATAGGTGACAGGGATGGAGGCCGCAAGCCACATTGCCATGTATGTACCTATGCAACAATCCTGCATGTTCTGCACATGTACCCCAGACCCTAAAGTGCAATTATGAATGAAAGAAAGTGTTTTATAATTGAAACACTTTTCAATTACAAAAAATGTGTTAATAATAGGGTAAACAGCATGAGAAAACAGGAAATTCCATACTATCTTTGCAATTTCCCTATAAAAATGAAATGTTAAATGTTAAAGACAATTCAAATAAATTAACTAATTACAAAATGGAGACTTTATTTGGATTCTGATTCAAAAAAGACTTTACATATGCCTATGTGTCTCTATACATGCCCTCTGTGTATAAATATGAAATATGAAAAGTATATATACATGACCAATATACACAAACAACTATGTTATTAGACAAAGACATGCAATAATTAAAAATAATTCCTCAAATAAGTTTTCAATTTTTCTGATGGTGTATACATATAAACATTCTATAGTTTAGGTTTTTTCAGCCAAGCAAATATCACATTGGAAATTTGATCCCCAGTGTGATGGTGTTGTGAGGTGGAGCTTAAAGGGAAGTTAAGGGCAGATCACTTAGGAATAGGCTAAGGATCTCTCTGGGGGTGGGGGTGGTTAGTGAGTTCTCACTGTATTAGTTCCTGAGAGCTGGTTGTTAGAAAGAGCCTGACACCTCTCTTCTCTCTTTCTCTTGCTTCCTCTTTTACTGTGTGACTTCTGCACACATCGGCTCCCCTTCCAACATGAGTGGAAATAGCCTGAGGCCCTAACCAGATGTCCAATCTTGAACCTTATGGACAGGAGAATTGTGAGCAAAATAACCCTTTTCTCTTTATAAATTATACAGTCTCAGATATTCCTTTATAGCAACAGAAAACAGACTAGAGATAACACATATTCAAGCATATTACACGTTGAAAATATAGATCCATAAACAGTGTATATGTGCATTCATATTAACAGGACATGCATAAAATTATACATCCATAGATATAAAATATATGTCTATGCATATATAAATGTATATATAGGTTGATTATCACATATCTGAAATGTTTGAGACAGGTAGTGTTTCAGATTTTGGATTTTTTGTGTTAAGAGACACTTAAATTGTATTCATACATAAAATGTATATAGACACAAAAAGTACACAAATATATACAAACATCTATGTCTATTTATCTATCCTCTGTATAATCAGGGAAATTTGAACACTGATTTGAGGACTTATTATTAGTTATTCTGTCTTCATTTCTTTGTATAATAATGCCACTGTAGTTATGAAAAATAAGAAGTATTCTTCAGAATGTATACAGATAAAACAATATGACATTTGAGCTATTCCTAAAACTACTTTTATGTTGGATGTGGTGGGGAAAATTGGGTGGTGCTATAGACATGAAATATAAGTGGTCCTGCGTTGATAATTTTTTAAAACAGTTTATGAGAACATAGTAATTTGCTTTACTAATCTTTTACATCCTTCTATATTTGAACATCTATCATAAATATTTTAAAATAATCAACGTGGAAAAAACAAAGTAGAGGAACTTGCTTAACTGAAGAACTCTTAATATAAAGCTATGATAATTAATAATTATTTAAAGATAGATGAATATACCAGTGGAACAGAATATTAAACTTGGAAGTAGTTTAGGAAAAAGTGTTCATGACTGTATGAACATTTGTTAGCAACAAAGGTATTATTCTGAGCCTCTTAACATCCAGGTGAATTGTAAACATGACTGTTAAAGTCAAAATAATGAGTTAAGTGATAATAGAATATCTTCATGACTTCTAGGTCAGCGGACATTTTTAAGCAAGATGTAAAAGATATCATGAATGAAAAGGTTTCTAAGTTGACTACACTACAAGAATTTCTATTCATTGAAAGACCTAACGAAAAGCATGAAAAATAGAATAAATCATATTTAACTGACAAATAACTCATGTTTATAATAAATAAAAGAAATTTTGGAGAAAAATAAGATAAAAAAACATTTTTTTTTTAAATTGGGAGGATTTTAAGGGACGCTTCACAAATGTAAATACCAAAATCGGCAATAAACATATGAAAAATGCTTAGTCTTTTTAATCAGTAAATTAATCAGAAAGGCAAATTAAGATACAATTATAATACCACCACATGCCTACCTGATTGGTTAAAAGAAATCTGAGGGTACCAAGTGTGATGAGAATGTAGAACAATAGGAACACTCACACACTACTTGAAATAGAGTCAGTTGGTACTTTGGGAAACAATTTGGTGTATTTTTGTTTGTAATGGCCAAGCCCTGTGCATATCCCAAAGATTTAGCTATAGTCAGCAAACTATAAAAATTGTGATATATTTGAATAATAAAATAACAACAGAAATGAAAGAACTAGAAATGAAAGAACATACCTGCAAAGGCATGATGTAAATCTAAAAACTATAATTTTGAGCATATTTTGAATGTCAATATATTTTAACATTCAAAAGCAGGAAAAGTTAAAATATATTGTATAAAAAAACATAATCACATAGACTAGTTTTTAAAAGGCAGGAAGATAAAGAGCACAAAATCGAGATATTGATTAGGTGGGACGGAAATCATTACAATCAAAGGATATATAAGGGATTCTGGACTACAGGGAATATTTTCCTAACCCACCTCAGTGTAACCTCCTCCCTATTGTCTTCTTGTTATTGAACTAGTCAAAATTAGTTTCTTTATTCTGTCAACACATCGTTTCCTTCCTCACTACCATGATTCCACATGCATTTGTTTCCTTAACAGTTTTTTAATTTTATGTACATATATATATATATGTGTGTATATATATATATATGTGTGTGTGTGTATATATATATATATATATATATATATATACACATATATACATATATATATATTTTTTTAAATTTTACATTAGGTTCTGGGGTACATGTGCAGGCCATGCAGGGTTGTTGCATAGGTGCATACATAACCAGGTGGTTTGCTTAATATTTGTTCTTAATATGTATTTCTAGTGCCTTACAATTTTTACAATACAAACCAAAATGCATCTGTAACTGGCATTGGTGAGCCTTTTTAAAGTCTCTTTACTAGTTTCCTGGACTTAAAGTATTTGACTTTCTTTTTAACCTCTGTGTTTTATATTTTCTTGTCAAATGTGTTCCTCTTGATATAATATCTGGAGAGATACTACATTCAGTCTTTCTTCTCCAATATAGTTGCAACATTGTTTCTGTCTTTGCTTAGAAGAGCTCAGTAGCATTAATAATAAGATGTCTCTTATTTGCAAAGAATCCTTCAATTTTTTAGAATTGGCTTGGTTATAATGACCACAAAGGACAACAAATCTTTATCAGAGTAGCGAAACGATTTTAATCCTAATCACATGGGCAATCGTGAATTCATGAAATATAAGTGTTCAATTTTTTTTAAAGGAACTGTAAATTTTCTAAGAATGAAATAATTACAAATTATTTTTGTGA